TCAATGTTTGTTGAATGTCAGTCACTTTGCATATGAATCTTAAGATATTCACTACTTTCGCTATATTCACACCAAATAGATACTACTTGAACATTTTTATGTTGATTCGTTTCTTCACAAAAAAAGTGGTCATTAATACCGGAATAAGTGCTGAGTGATGCAGGTGAAACATCCGCTAGCTCGGTCTCACCAAAAAATTCAATATTAGCTAGTATTTGTGAGGTTGGAACAGGCTATCAATGCCTTTTATTCAACTCACCTCCTTCCCGCTTTATTTCGTATTTTGAAAACTCGATTTTATAAAGGACTTCGGGTTTTGTTGCGTGGGACTCTTCACATTCAACAAATCCATTTTACGTATGTTTGCATGGTCCCAAATGCACGAATTTCTGAAATATCCTCGAAATTGTAATTTCTAGTCAATTAATATAACAGGAAAGAAAAAGAATAGGTATTCAATAGTTTTCATTAGTTTCATTAGTTAATGATTTTCCTTAGTCTTTTCCAGAGTAACAAAAGACGTAGGAACTGGGAATTAGTCAAACGTCGCGTGTTGATTTTGATACCAAACCACTTTTCTTATTGTTAGTTCGCATTCCTCAAAAGTCTTTATCTGTGAACATAATAAAACTGGTTTCATCAAACAATAAACGGTTAATCGTTGCTTCCGTAATAAAGGCCACATAATCCTTACAGTAACCGATCTTTACCAGTTCAGCTAAATTTTTCCATATTTTGTTTTGATGCAAACGTTTGTATTACTTGTTTCTGAATAGCATTTTCAAGTTATATACTGCAAAGCAGATACTTTCATACTGTGGACTACTGCAACACATTTTAAAATTTATTACCATACAACCAACATTTTCTAGAAACTCTCTTTAATAAGTAGTAAAATGTGAAAGTCGAAATAGGGAGAGGAAGCCTTTGTCGTCACCAACACCCATATAAGCACTTTTTGGTGAAAAGTCAGTCACTGTTACTTTTCCAAGACTCACAGCTCTTGGTGGGAAATTTGTATAAACAGTTCGGCTCCCAACATGCATCAGCCTAATCGAGTTGTTCTGAAACTTATTTTCGGTTAAGCCTTATGTACTCATTGAATAATATGAATTGAGAAATAAAAGTTACCATGTTTTCTTTAGTGCTCAAAGATGCTCATAAATAAGTCACTTACTTTTACACTGGAAGATACCGAAAGGATTTGCGAATCATTGTTAAATGCCATACAATCAATAGATGTTGTAAGATTATCGAGCGCTTTTACGGGTCTGGGAAGCGAGCTTTTCAGAACATCTGCAGAGTCGTATAGATTTACAATTCCTGTACTGGATCTAAAACATTTTGTAATTCCTGGAATTAAGCAGTTCATTGCTCACTAGATCATGCAGATGAACCAGCAATTGGTAGGGTAATTAGCAAAGCATCATTCATTTTTGGCAGTACCACAAACCAGATCTAGCCCCTGACAAAACTTATGTTCTATGAAAAAGAACCTTGAAATCCTGAACTTCGTAAATGCTTGCTTCAGTATCGGCTAATAATACCAACTTTGAGAACTTTCTCTAATCAGTCCTTCTGAAGAGAATAATCTTATTATACTCATCGCCTTTCAACAGTTTCAGTGACTTACCCACAGGCAATGTATTGGCCATTTTCACTTATTCGTATTACTGTCCCCTTAACTGAACCTTCGTCGTAAAATGCTTGTTGCTCTTTCAACTTCCTGATGTTCCATATTAATACCTGTCCATTTTCTAAACACTTTCTTTGAGCAGTACTTAACAATAGTTTTACATTTGTTTAATGCAAAGGTGGCCGTATGAATTAAGTTCATGAAATCACGAAACATCGAAACCTACCCTCCAGAGCAAAAATGGTTGATGAATCATTAGGGAAGAACTGTACGGAAGCAATTTTTGCTGAAGCCGTCAAGACGCCAATATATTCCGATGACTGAAATTTGATCTTAATTTAAAAAATCACTGTCAGAACGGAAGAGAAAGCGGAGAGAAACAACTGGAAAAGAACACAAAATAGATCATTAAGTAAACAAATAAATGATCAAAAAAAAAATTTGCTGTTACTGATTCTTTTCTTTATTTTAGTTTTCGTTTCATTATATATATAGGAGTTTCTTCATAGAAGCCAATATATTTGGTTTCAGTTCCTACTACATTGAGTTGAACTCTTGGTTCAGTTTTTACTACTGTTGGGAAAATCATCAGCTTATTATCCGATCTGTGTAGAATGAAATATTACACAGTATAACAACAAACTCAGTGAACTTTCATTGAATGAAGAATAAAGAAAAGACCAAGTAAATGCACAGTCTAACAACATACCACTGAAGTTAAAATGTGTACTTCGTTATATGCCAAAACAGCTATGTATTTGCCATCAGATGATAGCGAAAAACGCCCCATGTGCATTTTCGTCATTTCTGTAAAAATTTCTCCATATAACAATTGATTTGCTTTTTTCTCAACTTATAAGATGAAGCAGAAAAAAAACTAGTACCATAAGGAGTTCTCATCTGCATCACTTTAGCATCCATAAGATCGTAACAAAACAGAGATTTCTGTAATATACGTTGAGAATGGTCATAAGTTATATCGTTTCTTGTACCTCGACTCAGAACCAACATTTCTTAGCAAATATACTAGTACCATAATAATCAGTAATATAATAACTTATAGCAGTAATAATAATAAACTATTACCACTTTTATTTATTATTTATTACTATCATTGTAACTATATTATTATTATTATTCTTCATTAGTGCTATTATTATTTATTATTATCAGTTATTTGTTTATTATTATTATTGCTATTATCATACTGTCATCACTATCATTACTATCATCATCATCACCATCGTTAATTTATCACTATTATAATATGTCAAAATATTAAGTCAGAAATATTCTAAGTCCTGAACCTTCTTTTTCGAGCCAACGATTATTTTGGAACCATCTGCAGTAAAGGAAGCACTGGTGATTGGAAGTGCTTTGAAATGGATACTTTGCAGAAAAGCTTCTTCCGTTTCTGGTAAGCCTACCTAAATTAAATGGGTTTAAACTCCTCTCTAAAATTTAACGCAGCGGAGAGAAACAACTGGAAAAGGACACAAAATAGATCAGTAAGTAAACAAATAAATGACAAGAAAAAAATTTTGCTGTTACTGATTCTAGTAAAAAATCAAACCATGAAAATGCAAGCAAAAAATACCTCGAAAAGACTGAGAAGACCATTCTCACCAGCGCACATAAGCACCTTACGAGATGGATGAAATTGTAACGCTCTCATCGGTTTCTAATGAAGCATATTTTACTGTCAGGATGAAATAGATTATAAGACTTCTACAAATCAGAACTTCATAAATCTCAAAGAAATAAGTATGACATATCATACAACCTTCCCAAATCGATGCCCATGTGTAATATTATTCACTCGTTTAACGCTAATTACACTTTTTGTTAATGACCTGCTGCCAGTAACACATTTTCCTGTAAACGTAGTTATTTCGCGTACTGCATCCTGCAGATCGTCGTCATCTGATTCAGCATGTTGAGTTTCCTTTTTTCCACATACTAGAATACTTAAAAGATTAAAATTAAAAAAATAGCGAATCGTATAACGAAAACGAAAATAAGACACACTTCCGAGAAACTAGACATCAAAATTAAGAACATACAGGAAAACTGAGACCACGCCGGAGCAGCACCAGAACTGTGACAAAACAGTTGTCGCAATCGCCCCTCATATTCCTGGAATATTCGTACTTTAATTTTCCTTGAAGAAATAAACCACTTTATAATGTTAGAGAGTGATGTAAGCTTCCATTACTGAATGTATCCGAGACTAGAAGTATGAGATGTTTAGGAACAGTGAAAATTCCCATTACAAGATTACTGGCAGGACTTCTTAATATCAGATATACTGCTCAGTCATGAAGTGAATTATTGCCGACTCGCTCCGATGCTATATGATTATCTTGCTTACATTCCCATTAAACAGGATGTTTAAAAGTAAAAAATGACCTTTGGAGTTAATTTCTGATTCAAAGCATCAGTTGCTTTCCTAATTTGCATTTTTCTCTGATGTAGTGGCACTTCCACAACTGCCTCTTCAACTATATCATCTTCATCCTGCCAAGCAGGTTTCTTGCCAACTTCTATCTGAAACAACTTCCCACATGCCTTCCGTTATTTTTATCACTTATGAATTTTGCCGCCAAAACAATTTTGAACAAGCATCGTAATTGACGGAACTTTAGAACTATATTATTATTACTTCCAATAAAAATTCTTGATCCTTAGTTTTCCGTATCTGCCGAACCATTCCTTTGCCTACTGTAATACATTGAACCAAAGATTAATATACTTTAATCCCTTATACCAACCAAATGAGCCAGCTTTTGACAGATGACTTCTTGAAATAAAAATTTAAAGTTAAAATATTCTTTAAATATACTGTCTCTGAAGACAACATGAGCCTATCAGCTCAAGTTCATCGCCTACATCTCGAAACATTTTTATCCTAGATCACGTAATCCAGATGAAAACACCATCATACCTCTTCTTTAAACATTTCTTCCACCTCGTCATCGTCATCACCGCTATCTTCAAAGCCATCCGGAAAGCCAGCACTGCTACCAAACAATTTTTTTGCTAACCGATCTTCTTCCTCTCGATCCTCAGTTCTCCGTTTCTGCCGAACCATTTCCTTACCTCTCTGCATATGTTAGAACCAAAGAATAATACACTTTAATTCCCTATACCGACTAAATACTGGCCACAAAGAACGGAATCACAAACAACATACACGACACAAAACTGGCTCAAAATACTAAATATACAATCATAATGATAAGATCCGATAAATCAAACCTACAACCCCAGCCAGCAAATGTTGCATTATTCCTACAGCTTGTGGGAAAACTTCTGGACCAAGCTCGAACTATAGCTGGCTTATTTAACTCTCAACTCAGAATAAATGTCCCTTCTTGTGATCTCACGAAGATCCACCGACTTAAACCTAAAAGTTGAATTACAAGAATCACCAGACCAGACGAGCTGCAACGTTGCATATGGTGACAAGAACCAAATTCGCTTGCCTCCCTTTGAGAAATTGAGACTTCCCGATTGGAGCTACAGGGGAGTCGTAGAAAAGGGGAACGCAATCCCCGATGGGTTTTTTCCTGCAATGACTGATCTAACAGTTTCCATCGCTGCATAGGGATACCATAGAAGGAGAGCCAAAAAAGAAGTGTACGAGTAACGCTAAAGCTCACTCATTCTGAACAACAAGACATGAACCGTGGGTGGAACAGACAGGTGATCATATAAAAGGTTGAGGAATATGATTGTAGTAAGCCGGAAAACAATCGGTTGGGATGGATGAGAATGCAAGTAAACAAAAGAAAATCCAATCTGTCATTCCAAACTCTTCTTTCCGAAATAAATAGGTGAGTTCAAATTATAACTTTGGATTTCTCAACAGATCCAGTCTCACGTATTAAGATACTTTAAAAGCCGATTTATAGGTGTAACGCATAGTGAAGATATAGTGAAGGACTGAAATGACATATTTACAACCACAAAATTTGCCAATATCATTATTTGCAGCAAATCACTTTTCGCGCTGTGAAAGTTGCAAAAAGGCTCCTTCAAGTGTCGTCTGTGTCAATGAATAATCAAGAATCCACGGAAACCGTCCCGCAAGTTGGCATAATTTTCCATACATCTCCGACCACCTAAACTGTGATATTATTGGATATTATTTTTAAATTTTATTTTTCTAAATTTTTCATTTCAGAAGAATTTGGATGAGCGTTAGAAAGCTTTTAAAATTACCATCCATTGGTTGTTTGTCCTTTTGGAATAAATCCTATTTTATTACTTATGAAAGTGTATATTCAATATTTTTAACATAACTTGATTTTTGTCATTCTGGTAGATGGCACAATAAGATGATTTTTGTCATTCTGATGGCACAATAAAATCTTAGAATCTGGAAAATGTAAAAAACTACTTACCTGTCACCTTCTCTCTTTGTAATATCCCATAATAAGCATGTGCTGTGAGGACCCTTCTCAGCACAAACAGGAAAAATTTCTTTGATAGAAGAAATTAGATCTTCCCGTCTATATTGATCAGCAATTGTTATAACCAGTGTGTATTTTTCACCAAATCTGATAATTCTTCACATATCATATACGAAATAAAAGGCATAAAGACTGACATGGCAAGGTAATTACTATGTGGTGTACAGATGAAATATCACTCCTATCCGTCATATTATGCGAAAAAAAAAGTTTTCTAAAAAGAAAACGCTCAACCTTGTTTTGATATGTTGTGGTGATCCAATAGCAATCAAAGATCCCTGATCCATTATGCCAACACGATTACAGAGTGCTTCACACTCATTCATGCTATGTGAGGTAAGAAGCACCGCTCGCTGTCTTTCACGTACTGCATTGAGTAAACACCAAATTTGGCGCCTTGCTTTCGGATCAACACCAGCAGTCGGCTCATCCAACAGTATTAAATTAGTTTGTGAAATCAACGCTACTGCTACACTTAAACGCCGTCGCTGCCCACCACTAAAAAAAGCACTGAATAGCTACTTTCGAAAACCAAAAAATAAAATAACAGATCAACAAGGAATAATAAGCAATTCACTTTCCTAAATAAACCATCCAGAGAAAGTCTACATAATCTTATTATTTGGCATGTGGTGATACAACTACTGTGAGCATTAGTTCAAAATGTTTCTTAATCAGCTCATATAGGATGATCGATGTTCACCGGTCTGATTAGGCAAACAATAAAGAAAAGGGGAACAATGTATATAAAAAAAAAGTACCTTCACAGAACGGTCTGATATTTCCTAATCAACATCCGCTGACTGTTAAAAACATATATATATATATATATATCAAAGAAACTAATAATTAAAAAATATCAAAGCTGATCCATTATGGTACACGAGAGGCTTTCAGCAATAATCAAATTATGTTTTAATTGTCCCAGTGTACACATTTTAGAGAAATTATTCCCTACTGCATTAAATAAATTACGAGAATAATACGCAGATTTTATATAATTTAAGAATTCTGCCATCGAACTCAAAAAAAAAAAAAAAATCCATTCTTATTCCTCAGATAAATATTATTAGCTATAACCTAAGAAACTCGACGCAAGAATCCGCATGCTCTGTTAAAGATACTGCTTCAAGGAGAGTTTTGACACGTTTCATTGGATTAACAAAGCCACAAAGTGAAGCCAAAAGTCGTAGAGTTTGTTTAGCTGTTAGTTTAGGATGAAGAGCGTCGAACTGTGGACAAAACCCAATAGTCTGAAGAAAATTTACTCTCACATGACAGCATCATTAAGTAGAAAACAGATTAAAATTTATATCAAACATAACGACAGATGTGATGAAGATCTAAGTTGGCAAGAAAGTTGCTAAATTGCATAGGAAGTGAAATTTAAAAATGAAGTCTTAATTTAATACATCAAAATTAGACCTGTTTCTTCAAAATAGAACGGCCGTTGATGAAAGCTTCGCCTCCATCTGGTATAGATACACCAGTTAGCATATCAAATGCTGATGTTTTACCTGCACCATTTACACCTGGAATTTTGTAAACCTCAACCACTTTAAAAATTGGTTTTCATTAATTCAGAACCCTGCAAATTATCACAAACATAAACGGAGAAATTCGAAGGCAAAAAGTTAGAAACAGCATGTCCAATATGTTTTTTGAGAAAAATCTAAGGTTTAATTCACTAATCTAAACGTCAATACTCTCTTTTATCTCTTTAAACTGCTTAAAACTCACTTAACAATTAATGAAAATGCAAAATTTAATGAAACGGACCCAGAAGACCAAAGCATTCACCGGGTTCGACACCAAATGTAAGAGCACGAACAGCGTGCAAATCCCCATAGTATTTATTCAAATTACGGACAGCAAGCGATAGCTCGGTATTCCTTTTCCGCGATACACATTCTCGTTCTTTCTTTACATCAACATCTTCCAAGCTGTCTTCATACTAAAATACTTAAAAAATTAAAAAATAAGCATTTTTTTTCTTTTGGAAGCTATATGTCCATCCAATCTTCTCCAATTAAAGATGAGCTTCTACAATTACGAATTCATTCTCAAATTCGCATTATAGTATCGTTAGAGAATAACTTCACTACATTTGTAATTTCCGACAAACTTTCCAGGGTAAAATGAAAAATCTAAAGAGAGTTGGAAGATTACCTTATCATACCAAATCGTTTGCAACATATTTTTATATACTTCTATAGATTTAGTAAAATTTCCCACTCAACCATGTTACCAGAAAACACCACTTTCAATAGCAGGATAAATTTTTAGTCTAACAAAAGCTACTGTGTTTCATTGCTGTTAAGCCATGAAACACCGCAATATAGTGCCTCATTTTGCTTCCGCATAAATCTATCGAAGAAGATATGGCATTCTGTTTCTTTGATAAATAGCAACGAAGAATTTCAAAACTCAAAAGCGTCCAAGTTTCAAAAAATGAAAATTTGATTCAAAACCAGTGATAAACTTGATGGTGTTCTCCGTATTATCGACAACAAATCGTGCATATACATGGTCAGGGGCTTGAAATTCATCATTATTAAAATAATCCAAAATAAAAGACCCGAGAAGAACATCATGACATAAACACGTCCAAGTTTCTGAAAAATGAAAACCAATGTTCTTTTAAATCTGATCAATTTTATATAGGAAATATAGATTCCAGCTAATTTTCGCTGAAACATTAACCAGCTGAACATTAATGAATATTAATAACTGACAACAGTAACAACTGAACAATATCAATAAATGATTTGCTATTCCAAAAAAAAAAAAAAAAAAAATCATTATCAATTCAAAAGTTATACGCACTATACAGCTTTATATGCACTATACTTCAAGCAGACGCAATTTAGATTCTTATAGTAATACTATAAGAATCTAAATTGCGTCTGCTTGAAGTTTGAAAACATATCTAGCACTTCAACAACTTCTGACCTTTATAAGTCTTAACAATGAAAGTATGGATTAGATTTGATGATTTCTAAAATACGTAACACAACTTCTGCCAAACATCCTGTCATTATGGAGATTAAAACAAGAATTCAGCGGTGGCTGACATAATAGAGAAATATAGGACGTAAACAATGATGATCCATTAAATTTGTCAGACTCATAACCTTCTAAGCTTGGAATGCAAAAAAAAAAAAAAAAACAGTCTGAAATTTCCAGATTTCGCAAGTACGTCCAAAATCTTTAGTGCTCATTCTTATAAAAGGTTTAATATATTACAAATTACGACTTCATTCCATACATCCAAAGAAACACGTTCGTTCATTTTTCATCTACTTAGTCTTAGCATCATATTACTTACAGTCGTCATTGAATGTAATTTTCAGCAACATATGTTGCTCTAACTAAAAAGTTACGAAAGAATGTGATATTATACGAAAAAAAAAATTTTTCTTTTTCTTCCTAGGTGTATTTTTTATAACCGTAATATTTCTAAGTACATCCAAATTTTTTAAAAATTAAGTGGGAAAAGCACCTCCCAGCTGTACAAACCATTCATGTCCTTGTTGACATCAGCAACTAAAATTATAATCAAACTGTATGACATGCTGTACGTCGGTAGCGCAAGCAAGAATGTTGTCTGAAATTCAACGAAAAAAGTTTATTTCTCTAATTTCCTCGATAAAACAAAAGTTTTGCATGACGCACGAATTAGAAAGCGTTTCAGTAGGATTAATTTAACTGTTTCCAGAAGAATGATCCTATCATTTATATCACATGTTAAACTAGTACCAAAAACCCGAAACAATCGGCACACTATAAAATAGAGGTAATTAAAATTTCAATTTTAAATCTTTATTTATAGAGAGTTCGTGTTCCAATAAAGACCATTTTAAAAAGCATTCCGCCACTCCATAAACATAGCTGAATCCATAATTAAATGAACTTTAAATTTTGAAAATGAAAAACTTTTTAGTGCTAAAACCACTTACATGTAAATACGGAAATAACTTCGGCTTTATGGACATCATAATGTAGGATATGATACTAGCACAAAGAGCAACGACCAGTGTTATGATAATTAGGACAATATAAGCTCGTGCTGAATGCCTAATTAGGAAAGCCATGCAATAAACAAATGGCAATGTTGGCCATAAATATATCA